TGCTCTTTCTGTTCTTTTTCCCAGTTAGCTCATCTAACTGGGATGAGCTAACCTTATCTCTGAATTATAGTCAAATTCTTTTCAAAATAGTAGTCAAAACGTTGTGTTCATTTTCCTTCACTTTTTTTCTTCTCAAAATTTGTCTCTGCTACCATATTGACTTGAATTTAACTAGGTTCTAGTTCATTAATACAAGTTAACAAAACTTGTTATATAACACATTTGAAAATTTGCAGTAGCTGGTTAATCCTGTTCTTTTGAGACCTACAGGAAGATTTTTGAACTATTTTACTCATTAGTGGCTGTATACACAGCACTTCTGATGGAGATACTTATTTTTTTATGGGCATCTGCATTTAATCCTTTTGTTGTAGTTCACTTTAAATACAAAGTGTAGCTTAGAAACAAATTTTCTTTTGAAAGTTTAGGTTTTTGTTTTGATATTCGTCTTCCTCTCCTATAGTTTAACTAAATTTTAGCTCAAAGCTCTTGTAGAATTTGTACCATAATGTTCATTATGGATGTGATAGATATCACTTATTGAATTTATTTTCTGTTTCTACAGACAACCTTTATTTTTAGTGACAAAGCCAAGTTAACTAAAATGTCAAAGCTGTTTAGTTTCTGAAGGACATAACTGGAATAAAAAATAAAATGAATAATTAATAACTCTAAATAAACCCAGTGTTCTTCTTTGTTATAACATATAAAATTCACCCATTTGAAGTATACAGTTCACTGGTACTAAGTACAGTTACAGCATTTTGTGCAACCATTATCTAGTTCTATAACTTTTACATTACTCCAGACAGAAACCACAGTCCTACTAAGGAGAACACCTACCCTGATCTCTGTGTTCTCAAACTCTAACCATGAATCCATTGTCTCTCTATGGATTTGCCTATTCAGATTACATAATATGAATAGAATCATATGATATGTAGCCTTTTGTGTTTTCTTTAATTTAGTGTAATGTTTCATCATGTATAAATATTGTATTTCTTTATGGCTAAACAATACTGTATTATATGTATATACCATTTGTTACTGTGGTTTTACAGTCAGGAAGTGTGAGTTCTCTACTTGTTTTTCAAGATTATTTTGTCTATTCAGAGTACCTTTGATTGCTACATCAATTTTAGGAATGGCTTTTCCATTTCTGCATGGGGGCGAGGCATTGAGATTTTGCAATGAATGTGTATGTAGCTCTCTTTTGGGAAGAATATTAGCATCTTAACAATATTAAGTCTTTCATTCATGAACATAGGATGTCTTTGCATTTCATTACGTCTTCCCTGATTTCTTTCAGCATACAAAGCCTTATACACCCTTGGCTAAATTTATTCCTAAGCATTTTATTCTTTTAGATGGTATTGTAAATTGAATTCTCCTCTGAATTTCATTTTTAATTCTTTATTGCTAGTGTAGAGAAGTACACAAAATTTGTGATGTTCATGTAACTTGCAACCAGAATTTGTTTAACTCTGATAACTTTTTGGTGGATTTACTATCACGGCATCTGTGAATAGATATAGTTCTGTTTTCTTCCATTCCTATTAGATTCCTTTAATTTCTTTTTCTTGCCTGATCACTCTCAGAATTTCTAGTATGATAATGAATAGGTAAGAACAGCATCCTTGTCTTGTTCCTAATCATAGAGGGAAACTTACAGTTTTTCACCAGTGCATGTTAACTGTTTTATTTTTTCATACATAACCTTTATCATGTTTAGGCAGTTCTCTTCTACTATGAGTTTGTTGGGCTTTTTTTTTTTTTTTATCATGACAGACTTTTAGATATTTGTCAATTGCTTTTTCTGTATCAGTTGTTAACCCTGAGATTTTTTTTTTCAGTTTTATTTTTATAACAGTTTGATAATTTATGTTTTATTTTTATAACAGTTTGATAATTTATGTTAATTATTTATTTGTTTAGTAGAAGTCACCAGTGAAACTGGTTCAGGGCTTTCCTTGGGTGGTTTTGATAGTAACCCCCCCATTCATTTCTCAATTTAGAAATTAGAATCTTCTTTTTCTGGTTTATTAAAATTGATCTTTCTCTGTTTTTTTACTCTGTTTTGTGTATGTCCACTCTGATTTTTATTTTGTTAGCTTTTGAGCTTAGTTTGCCCCTCTTTTTTTTTTTTTTAGTTCTATAAACTGTGAAATTAGATTATTGATTTAATGTTTTCTGCAGTTTCTGTTGTTTGTCTTCCAAATGCTTGGGACATCTATAAAGATGTACACCACCATGCCTGGCTGATATTTTCTGTTTTTATGTAGGCATTTTAGTGGTAGAAAAAAAAATTTCACTCATCAACTACAGCTCTGGTGCTACAACACTCAGACCAAGGCAGGGAGATTGTTAGTTACAGGCCTGCAAATCCAAAAAGGCTCAGGAATGAGATGGACTTGTACCACAAAATGTAAGAGTGAGACAGGGCCATAGGGGGAATTCCTTGAAATAGTTAAGGAATAAGGATCCCTATGTTTCCACCTCACAGGACACAGGAAATATGTGCCTGTATTTCCTGTATTTTGGAGAGATTCCAGACACAGAATACTGCAGGAGTGAAATGGTAAATTAAAGATGAGAATTCAGCAAAACTTGTCATACTAAAAGATGTTAACCATCTTCGGAGAGTTTCCAATATAAAAGAGAGACAGATAACAGAAAAAATGAGAACTTTAAAGAGAAGAGACAGCGCAGGAAACAACCACTTCAAGGAAATGATAACTGACCACCCAGACAAATATTTACCTGGTGAAACAAAGCAGTATACCTTAAGAAAAAAAGGAGGGAGGGAGAAAGTTTTTGGAATGAAAAGTACAGAAGAAATGATTCTGCAAAAGCATTGAAACCATTAAAGAACTCTTCCTGGAAATAAAACAAAAGACAAAATAAGAGACAAGAGAAAATTAAAATATCTAACCTAATAAAAGTTCCAGAAAAAGATAGCAGGAAATCAAGAGCCTTGAAGACATCATGAAATTGAACAGGTCAAGTGCTCAGTGCAGACAGTAATTCAGGTTAACTGACTTGTGGAAGATATGTAATTTTGAAAATTGAGAGCTTACTAGAAATAAAAAGAAGAACCTAAGGACTTTGAGATGGTTGGGGGTGGGGAGATAAAAATCTTTGACTAAGAATGTCATTGAGAGCTAGGGGTATAGCTCGGTGGTAAAGCACTTGTCTAGCATGTGTAAGTCCCTAGGCTTAATCTCCAACACTGTAAAAAGTTTTTTTGAAAAGATTGTCATTGGACTTCACAGTTGCATGTGAGAATCTAAAAGATACTGGAGGACTGATGATGTAGCTCAGTGATAGAGCACTTGCCTAGCAGGCACAAGCCCCTGTGCTAGATCCCCAGCACCACAATTGGGAAAAAAAAAAAAAATTGCAGCAAAGCTTATAAAATGCTAAGGGAAATAATATTGGCTTGAGCATGTTATAGAATTTGTCATACATACATGAGAGAGAACACTACAATGAAGGCCCATGTAGTCATCGTGGGTTCAAAAGTTATCAACATCACCCTTACCTCTATACATACCTTAAAGTTTTAAAGTAAATTCCATATACTGTATCATTTCAATACCAATGCTTTAGTTTTACCTGTAACAGACATTTTAAAGAAATAAAATCACACTATTATTACCCATATCAACCTATTGATATCATCAAATACTTAATGGATTTTTTCCAGTTTTCACCATTTTAACTCAGAGCTTTCACTAGGAGTTTGCTTATTATTTTCAGAATCTATTGCATTTGGCAAATAATGTCTTAGTTTTCCACTAAAAGTCAGTTACTTCTGTGGGTCTTTTTTTTTTCCCTTCTTCATAGCATTTTAAGTTCTATGTATATACACTTTGAAAAGTAGAAATTAGCTTTTTAAAACCAGTTATACTTGGAGAACATTTCAGGAAATTCACCACAGAGTATGTGACTAATAATTTAAATGTGACTCCTGTAAATTAATTGGTTTTGTTCTTTTTAGACTGTCGTATTAAACATACTAGTTGAACATGAAGCGTGTGCTTAAATATCAGCCAGTTTAGCCACTCAGACATAGAAAGAATAAAGTATTCCTTGCAATAGCAGCTATTCATTGCAACAGCAAGACAGGAGGACAGTAAGCCACCACCACAGTTAAATATGAAAAATAGTCCAGAATTTGAAAGTAAGCAAGAAAGGTTTCTGAGCATCAAAATAATTTTCACAAAATCCAGGAAGTTCAAAAGCTATTAAACTTATTCAACTCTGCATACAACTTTAATGTGTGTGCAGATACAATGACAAATTGAATTCCAGGATTATAGGTAATTAGAAAGGGAGAAATGATGATGGTAGACTAATTGTTGCTAAGATTGATAGCTAGCAGTAAGAGACACATAGCTATTATGTCCCTACATAGGCATTGATAAATAGTAGTCTAGTGACTAGTAACCTACTTCTGTGCCATGTAGAGTTACAGAATCCAAAATAGCTTTATAGTCCTTTCAGGGGGAGGGGGTGGGTTATGTGATGGTTCAATTATGTTGACATTGACCTAGCCATTCTACTGCAGCCATTCAGCACCATTGAATTCAGATTTTTTTTTTTTTGGCTGTTTTCTTATTTATTACCAAGTAATTTGTGAAAAATCCAATTACATCCCTTAATCTGAGTTTCATTTCCATACATAAACAAAGCAGAGAAATCAAGGATGAAGTATGGAGTAAGGTAAGATGAAGTAACAGTTTGGACCACACAATAAAAGAACGATACATTTCTTCCATAGTTTCCCAACTCAGAAAGGCCCCCTCAGTCATTTTAAACAAAACGTGTGTTGGTTTTCTTGAGAAGTAACTTTAAATGTTTTCTTTTTGCAGTCTCTACTACTCTTTCTCAACCTGCCCACACGATTCCCATTGGTCATACTTACTTATATGCATTTGATAAGCAGATGTGGCTGCTGTGATGAAATTTAAGTGTTTTTCATTTGAGAATCTGAAGGTTGCTCACTGTATTATAAGTTTGGTGATGTTTAATTGGGTGTATATTAGTCATAGAGTAGGACAAATTCAGTATCTTTCTCTTTAACCCTGTTCTGTTTCTTTTAGAGGAAGTCCACAGATGAAGGGGACGCCTCATTTTAAGGAAGAACAGTGTGTGCCAGCATTAAATTTAGAGATGAGGAAAATACTGGATTTGCAAGCACCCATCATGAGGTACAGATCTTTGGTTAAATTTGGCATTTTGTGATGACAATAGACAAGGTAGTTGGTTACTCACATATCCAACAGGAAAACTGTTTTCTGTTGAGTATTGAGGGGGTAGGGGGGAGAGGGAGGGGGCAGAGTGGGTGGTAAGGGAGGGAGTGGGGGCAGGGGGGAGAAATGACCCAAGCCTTGTATGCACATATGAATAATAAAACAATAAAAAAAAAAGAAACCACAAAAAACATTAAAATATGACCATCTGATTTCCATTTCAATGGTATGTCTTCAGTCTATACAAAAAAAAAAAAGAAAAAGAAAAAGAATAGAACTTTAGCTCTAGAAATGCTTCATTAACCCTTATCAGAAATTCTAAGTTTTATAGATGGCACATTACTATACTTAAGTTATTATAATAAAACTAATAAATTGGGTATTCCAAGTATAATTTTACTTTAAATTTGTATGTTATATATGGTCTAGAATTACTTGATTGAATGATGTAATGTTGATGTTTCTCAAAAAGATACTGATGAAAATCATAGAAGTTGAAGAAAAGAGAGAAGTGCCTTTATTTCTAAAGCCTTTATAAATTTCTGGGAAGTACAAATATGTTTGGAAGAAAGTTAAGCTTTCTGATCCAAGCATGCCTACATATTATTTCCATTATGTAAATATAAGAAAATGTATTTAAATAATATGAAGCTGTGCAAACGGTGAAGATGTTCTTTTCTGAAAAAGACTCCAAATATATTGTTGAATGAAAAAACAAGGTATATATAATAATCATGCTGTTTGTTTTTAAAAGAAAGTTGGTGGTATTAGAATATTTGCTATTCTAGAAGAATAGGAAACTGGAGATAAGAACTGAGTGGGAGACAGATTTTAGAAAAAGACTATTGTGTACCTTTTAAAAATACTGAGCTGTGTGACTATAATATGAATGTATTGAACTATATAAACATAATACCTATTTTTTAAAAAGATCCTCTGATTCATAGTTCTAATAAACGTCTTCTTTAACCCTTTTTCTTGTTAGAATATACTTCATAAAATTGTATGCAGGTGGTGAGCTATCGTCTTTGTCTTGTTTAAGTCCCTCTTTTTAAACCTTATTCCCCTCACAAAAAAAATGCTGTTGTTACTTGCTTAAATGTGATCAGTGTTACAAAAGATTGAGTTTAGGATACTCATCACCTCTATCAAAGGATATCTTACCACTTCAGATTTTATTTACTTCAGCATGGAAATCCTTTTCAAGAATATTACTTAGTGTGGAAGGAATTTTGAATGTCTGTGGGTACCAAACAAGATGAAACTCTATGAAATGGTTTTCTGCCTCCACCTGGTGGTAAAAAAAAAATATGATGCAGAGAAATGGGATAGAAAAAGAGCCTTTAAAATATAATTTCTAGATCTGAGGTGTGGCTCCGTGTTAGAGCTTGTGCTTAGCCTACTTGAGGCCCTGGTTTCAATCCCCAGCATCACCAAAAAGCAGGGGCGGGGTGGGGAGAAAGAAAAGACAGAAGGAGGGAGGAATGTCTGACACATTGGCAAGTTTAACCTGTCAAATGGTAGGTTCTGCAGATTTAGTGGTTAGAAATCTCTAAGGTTTCTCTCAAAATTCCAATAAAATAATTACATTTCAGAGCAATGTTATTAGCACCTATAATACCTATTTGCTGGAAATTTGTTAGGTAGTTTCCTATGCAATTGTGAAATGAGTAAGATGACATGGAAGACTTTATAGCCAACTATTTTTCTCCCTTTACCACAAATGTATGTTAAATAAATAGAGATAATGGTTATACTGTTGCTTATAGGAGCAAAAGTATTGTTTTATTTTGTTTATCTTTTATTTTTTGGTGGGACTGGGGATTTAACTTAGGGCCTCACGTCTGCTAGGCAGGTGCTCTACCACTTAAGCCATATTCCCAGGTTTTTAGTTTGTTTTTGAGAGAGGGTCACCCTAATTGTGCCAGCACTGACTTCCAACTATGATCCTCCTGTCTTCATCTCCCAAGTACTATCTTTTATTTATTTTTTTAAAACTTTTTTTAATTTTAATTTTTTTTTTTTGGCAGTAGTGGGGTTTGAATTCAGGGCCTCACACTTGCTAGACAGGCATTCTACCACATGAGCCACTTCATCAGCCTTTTTTTGTTGTTGTTGAGTATTTTCAAGATGTAGTCTGATGAACTGTTTGTACCAGCTGGCTTTGAACCACAATCCTCTCCCGATCACTACCTCCCAAGCAGCTAGGATTATAGATGTGAGCCACCAGCAGCAAGCTAAAAATTTTTTTTTCTTGTGGTATTGGGGTTTGAACACAGGACCTCATGCTTGCTGGGCAGGTGCTCTATTGCTTCAGCCACTCTACCAGTCCTTATCTTTTATTTTTGACTAAAGAAAAATATAAAGGTTAATGCTACGCACCATTCTTTGTTATTAATTGAAGACAGAGAATGTTTAGAAGGTAAAAGTTTATAATTTATCTGGCAGAGTAGCTCAAGTGGTAGAGCACCTGCCTAACAAGCGTGAGGCTCTGAGTTCAAACCCCAGTACCACCAAAAAAAAATTTATAATTTAATAAGTTTAATTTATCATTAAAACTCTTAAATACTCTTTTTCTTCCTTTCAAATGCCACAATTTAATCTTTCATCCTGGATACTTAAGAGCACCGTGTAGTTATAGGGTTTAATATTCGTGAAGTACTAAATATTCTGGCACTTGGGGAATTATTAATTTGCAAGTTGTATAACTCATATATAAAAGAATATTTGACTTGTCAGAAACACTATTCTACTTTGAAGTATACATGGCAGTATATACATTGTGTTGCTTTCTAACTATATTAAATCCTAAATTTAAAATATGTACACAGTATTTGAAATACCAGATAGCTGTTTAAAAAAGCCCATGAAGCCAATAATTGAAAAAGCCTCTTTGAAGCTTAGAGTATATTTATCATATTTTGTATGTACTTACAACCAAGGATGATACTCAAAATATTTAAGAACCAGTACATTTCAGAAAAGTGGAGATGTTTTATAATGACTTCACAGTCTTCTTTGCATAAGCATTTTCTAAAGCAATCATATTCCTACTCTGCTTTCCCAGTATGCTCTCTCACCAGTTAATTGATTGAAGTTACTTACTTGTCTACAGTTTGCAGTCTGTGCTGGAAGATCTCCTGGTTGCTACTTCTGATGGACTTCTTCATCTTATTCACTGGGAAGGAATGACAAATGGAAGGAAAGCCATTAATCTTTGCACAGTACCCTTTTCAGTTGATCTGCAGTCATCTAGAGGTAGTTATACTTTCTACATGATGTAGAACCAGTTGTTTAATATTTGACACAATCTAGTACTATTCTTACAGGGTTTATAAACAAAAATATGAAATAATACATATTATTCATAATCCTATTTTGTGTATTTATTTTTTCATCAGTAGGTTCGTTCCTTGGCTTTGCAGATGTACACATCAGAGATATGGAATACTGTGCAACACTTGATGGGTTTGCTGTTGTGTTTAACGATGGTAAAGTTGGATTTATTACACCAGTGTCAAGTAGATTTACTGCAGAGGTATGGTTTACTTACTTTGAATGCTTATTTTCTTTATTTTTCATTTATTAATTTTACTTTGTTAAGTTCTTCCTCATTTTCTTTATTCATATAAAATTTTAGAGGTTATTTTTGTAATCAAAATATTCAGATAAATAGCTATTGTGTTACTGATTTTACCCTGTGGAAAATAACCATTTAGTTCCCTCTTCCCTAATCCCAACATACTCATATTTTCTTCCCCGTGAATTGTTACTATTTTTTGGCAGTGTTTGAAGTTGGGGCCTCATACTTGCTAGGCAAGCACTGTACCACTTGAACCATGCCTGTAGTACTTTAGCTTTTAGTCTGTTTTTTTTCAGATCAGGTCTTGTCCTTTTGCCCAGGTTGGCCTTAGACTGCAGTCTTCCTACTTCTGCCTCCCTAGTAGCTGGGATTGTAGGCATGGAGCACTGTGCCTGACAAATTGTTATAATTTTTATTAAGTTACTACTCATTGTTAATATTTTATCCATATGTAAACCCTGTTAGTACCTGATCCATGTAGTATGTTAGGATTATTTTTCCTTTTCTCCAGATTTTCCTTCCCACTGGAAATTAATAGGTTTTTTCTTTACATTTGCTTAGTCTTTATTTACTTAACCTGAAGTTGACTGACAGTTGTACAAATATTCTCTCAATTCTTTTAAACACATCAGGTATTCTACCTGTTTTGTCTTGAAGAAATTTCTTTGAGTCTCTGACCTGGTGACTTATTATACACCTTTAACAGTTCTATTTTCTAATTTTTCATCATCATCATCATCATCCTGAGGATTCTCATTACTCTTTTATTTGTATAGGACCCTTTGATAGCTAATGACTATTAATATCTGGATAGTTAGCATGGATTTTGTTGCTGTGACAGAGCCCTAAAGTAGAACTGAATTCATTTTTCTCAGTTTTGGTGGATTTAGTTAGTTATATGACCTTCATCATAGGATGAGTTGACTGGGTTATTTCCTTAAGGAACTCCCTAGCTTTAAATTCCTTCCTTTTCTTCTTTGCTTCTCTTTAATTTCATTCCTTCCTGGCCCCTGCCCTGTCTCCAGTCTTTCTTAAAGAGTCCTAAAGTCCTTTCCGAAGACATTGGTACCTGGCTACCCCAGTATTCTGGGACTTAAATTATGGAAGAGTTAAGCTAGAGGGTCTAAATTCAAGTTGTAAACTTTAATGTTCTTTGACTTGCTCTGTTTTTCTTGAGGAAAAATGTCCATTTCTCTGTTGAAGTGGAGGTGAATTATTTCTTGGCTACTCAGCATTGGAGATGTGCCCCAGGAGTGCCCAACTGCTTCGGAATAGACTGCTTTTTAATCCACGCTTTTTCCAAGGCTTTTCGGTACCATACAATGTAAATTTAGTTGTTTCTTACCATTCTTTACTGCCATCTAAGGATTCTACTTACCCATGTGCCCCCCCAACTTCCAAAATTGTCTCATGCTGCCTCCTCTCCCGTTCTTTCCATTCTTTGTCTTTATCAATTAAGCTTTTCTGTTATAAAATTTGAGGGATTAGGAATCTAAGAGACTAATATTCTTATTCATTGTGCTGTTTAACTAGAAAAGGTTTCATATTTCTGAGAGACTTTTTGTTTTGTTCTGCTTGGTATTCTTTAATATTCCTAGTAATATTTTTTGTAATCAGCTTTATTCAAATAGGCACTGAATAATATATTTGTGATAATTTATATCAATATATAAATAAGAATAAAAGTAAACTTGAAAAATACGATTTTTTCTACAAAGCGCATATATATTTGTAATTATATTTGGGAATTCAGTGATTATACTGAAATAGTTACTTCCCTGAGTACTTTAAAGTTATCTTTAGCCATTTATTACTATGTGATTAAAGATTTTTTTAATAAACTAAGGATTTAAAAAAATGAAAAGCAGGTAGACATTTTTAAATGTTATAAGTGGAAAATATCAATTACAAAAAAATAATACAGAAAACATACAGAATAAACAAAGAAAAATGGCATTTCACAGATATGTTAAAATATATAGGCCATGCAACTCCTCTGTTCAGAATTATTCAGTAAAACTAGTTAATCAGGGAAGAAAGTCCTGCTGAGACCAAAAAATCTGAAGAAAAACTTTTAAAAATATTATGGAAGGCTTTCAAGAGCTGACTGAACAGTAATGAAGTATTAGGGTAGAGGAGACCAGACACCCAATGAGTTGAAGCACAGTGTTTGCGTCTATAATGAACATGAGAAAAATGGCTGAATGAAGCAAAATAAATCTCACGAACATGGTGAGTGAAATTAGACACAAAAGAATACATATGTGATTTGGTTTTATATAAAATTAAAAGGAAAATAAAATCATAGGCTATTTTAGAGTATATACAGATGTGTGTTCAAGTGGTAATAGTTTAAAGGAAGAGAAGAAAGTGATTACTGTGTTAGTATGGATATTACCTGGATATTACAGTGATCAGGAGGGCACTGTTGGGAGATATTAGGGGTATTGAGGAGTCTACAGGTGTTTGTGGTATTATTGAGATGTACATTTTTGTTTTATGTATTCACTAATTATTGTAATTCATAATAGAAAGAGTTAATAATTTTTAAATACTCCAGTAACTCCCATTTATAACTTGGAGAAAAATTCAGTTAGTTCATTGTTTTTACACTGGCTTCAGAGCTCTAAAATCTGTCCTTCTATTACATTTCTTACTGTAACTATTTTCCATTCTCTGTCCACTGCACTTCATCCACAGAGGCATGTGGATATCATGTTTGCTGTTTTGAACCATCTCAGAAATGCTACCATAATAAGCCTTTCTACTTTATGTATTTCTTTCAAGACTTCCTCAATAAGCACCTTCATATGGAAATCTGTTTAATAATAACACTTCTTCCATACTCCCTCTTCACCATAATTACCTTACTTTTTAAAAAGCATTTGCCACTCTCCCATTATGCTGCATAATTTTTAAAAATTTGTCAACTAACTCAAATGCAAGCAGGGATACAAGCAAGGATTTGGGTGTGTTTGTATACCTTTCGTATCTTTACCACCAAGAGCAGTGTCTACTAGGCACCTGGGAAAAATTTGTTTAAGGCATGAATTTCAGTCTAAGCAGTGATTGAAAGAAGTAATACTCAGTTGCTGCCATTATCATTTTCTGTTTTAAAAGCCTATCAAGTTTTATTATTGAAATTAAAGAAGTTCTACCACAGAAGTCGTGCTGCATAATGAAATCATAACTATTACAACACCTAGTGATATTACAGCCTTCTTAGTTTGTGGAAGTACACCCTGCTAGTCACACAATGATAAAATTGCGTAACAACATGATTGTCAGGACATGCCCTATTACCAGGTGATACATGATTGTATTTTATGTTTAGGTAGATTATATAGCTTATTTTAGAATTAAATCTGTAGCTGTATATTTCTTACAGTTGAGATTATAGTGCATCACCTAACATTTACTGTTGGGATCATTAAAAATAAAGTGCCTTATTGTAGGGTGCTTTCTAAAACCTATGTCATGACATTTGCCTTACTTTTTTAAAAAGTTTTATTTTGGGTGGTACTAAGGATTGAACACAGGGTCTCATTTATGCTAGGCAAGTGCTATACCACTGTCCTACATCCCCAGTGCTTGCCAGATAATTTATAAGCTCAATGTCCTCATTTTTACAAATAACAGACCACCAAACTAAATCTATTCATTATATATTGAATTAAGTAACACATAAGATTAATAAGAATGTCATTTATTAAATGCTTAACCTGTTGAATATTAGTCATTGTACTAAATAGTGTATGCATGCTCTCATTTAATCTTTGAACCACCCTGAGAGGTAAGTAATTTTCAGGTGAGAAAACTTGGAAAGCTAAAATAATGAACATAGACTTTCGCTGCCAAATGTGATGCTCTTGGCTGTGCTGTTTTAGTAAGGAAATAATAGGGAATAGTAAGCAGTTTACAAGTAGTGAATTTTGCATCTAAAAGATACAGTTAAAATTACTTTCCACTGGGAAATTAAATGTTGTGTGGTAGATAATAGGAGTATTAATAGTGAGCAAGTGAGAAGCAGTTTCTGCTTTCATAAGTTTGCATAAGAATGTCATCTTCATTTAGCTTAAATTTGGAGATTGAATGTCCATCTTTTAGTGTTTTTTAGATAGATTAACTAGCACTGCTCTGAACTTATTTGGGAATATTTATCACACAAATTTATGAAAGGTTTGACATTTTAATGGAGAATATTCAGACAGTAATCCTGATGTGATATTTCCTATAAATCAAATGAACCCTTATGAAACTGCATATTTATTGGAGGAGAATTACATCAACTACAATAAGTTTGGGGGAACACTTTTTAAGCCTTAACCTTTTCTTTATTATAGCAGCTTCATGGAGTTTGGTCACAAGATGTTGTTGATGGAACATGTGTAGCAGTAAATAACAAGTATCGACTAATGGCATTTGGTTGTGCAAGGTAATTGATAGAATCTTGTGAATTTTTAAGAGTCATTACCAAAAATAATTTTTAACTTAAGATAACTTAACATACTTACAAATTTTATCATTCCTGTCATAATTTATGAATCTCTCTTAATGTACAATGTAAAGGTGTTTTATTAGATTGAAGCAAAGGTAAAGGGCAGATATTAGAGATTGAACATTTTAATTTACAAAATGAACTTTTCTTCAACTGTAGAAAATTGAGTTACAAGTTAAAAGAATAAGTCAGATAAAATTTACACTCTTCATTTTTAAAAAGAAGATGTGAAGATATTTTCCTTTTTAAAATAATCCTTTAAATTAGTGGCCGCATCTTAACTAATGAATACATTTAAAGCTCACACTTAAAATCATTTTTTTGCTTTAATTCATATAATAGACATTTTAAAAATAAAATTGAAAGTTGGGTATGGTGATGCATGTCTATGATCCCAGCAATTAGGCAATGAGGCAGCATGCTTGTGAGTTCTAAGGCAGCCTAGGCTACCTAGGGAGACCCTGTCTCAAAAATAAAATTGAATAAAATTACTCATTCAACCTATATCTGTTATGTACCAGGCATAGTCCATACTTTGGATACTTAAAAAACAAAGACACTTGACTTTATTAAGCTTATGTTTTGGCTCAAATTAAAAGATTATTCCAATGAGTTATACAGTGCCTTAAAATGTGTGGTGCATTTTATTTTTAATTTTTTGGGGCCATACTGTGGCTTGAATTCAGGGCCTTGCACTTGCTATAGGTGCTCTACCACTTGAGCCATACATCCAGCTTGTGCTTAGTTTTTAAAACTTTGTTTTGTTTTTTGCACTATTGGGGTTTGTACTCAGGGTCTCATGCATTCTGTGCAGGCACTCTACCACTTGAGTCGCACCCCTAGCCCTTTTTTGCTGCAGATATTTTTCAAATAAGGTCTCACATTTCTGCCCCAGCCAGCCTGTGTCACAATCCTCCTGTTTATGCTTCCTGTGTAGCTGGAATGACAGGTATGCACCACCATGACCAACTTTTATTGGTTGAGGTAGAGTGACTTGGACTTTATGCCCAGGCTGGCCTTGAATGGCAGTCCTCCCAATCTCTACCTGTGTAGCTAGGATTGTAGGCATCAGTCACCCGAACCTGGCCCAAAACTGTGTTAAGTATAAAATTCCATCTTGTTCTCAACTTTCATATTGTGAGATAAAAACATACATACAGCACAGTGCAATCCAGATGTTCACAGTTCAATAAGTAATTATAATACACACACCTACCTATCTGGTCACAAGTGGAAATAGAACACTCCCAGCCTCTCTATCATAAGCCTACTCTTGCTACTTCTTTTTGCATCTCCTCTTTCCTCCCTGACTCACTTAGTAATAGTTTTCTGTCTTTTTTGATAATCACTAATTTTTTGTTATAGTTTAGCCACCCATGTATACATTCCTTACAAATATAATAGAAGAATATAACTTAGTTTTATTTATAAAATCATATTTTATGGTTTGTATCTTCTCTCAGTCAGCATTTTGAATTCAAACATGCTGTTTTCCAGTAACTTTAATCATAATGTTCCAGTGCATGAATATATGGTAATTCATCAAAATTTGCATTTTTCTTTTGGTGCCCAAAACAGAGATTCTGTTACACAAACCCAGAATCTTTATCTCACAGAACATAATGATAAATTTCTAATAATGTCTGATGTCCAATTCATTTTCAAATTAAGCCAGTTGTTACCAGAATTTCTTCAGTAGCTCATTTGTTCTAATCAGAATCAATCAAGATTCATGAATTATAATTAGGTTATTATTCCTTTTTAGTTACCTTTTACCTGTAATAATGCTTACAACTTTTTTTTATTTTTATGGAATTGACTTTTTTAAAGTCCAGGTAAATTCTTTATAGAATTCTGTACATTCTAAATTTACCTCATTGTTTCCTCATGTTTTTCAGATTTACCTCATTGTTTCTCTGATGCCTATAATGACTAACCTGAAAGCTGATTCTTGTTGAGCAAATACAGTCAAATGAGTAGGATGCTTATCAAGGTTGCAATGTCACTTAAAACTTAGAGACAGGAGCAGTGGCAGTGTGCAAGTCCCACATCACCTGCATTCAGGGATAGCACCTAGGGGTCTAGTAATGCCAGATGGTAGAATCCAAATGAGGTACTCCAGCCTTAGGCTGTGGTCTTTATAAGCTACATGACTGGAAATTACTAGCATATTTTCTAGGATAATAAAAGTAGAATCTTGGTTTATAGCCTTTCAATCCCCTCAGTTTTCATTGGCTGGGAGACTGCCAGCACTGGTATGATCATGGGTTGGGGTTAAAGTTTTTGTTACTGTAGCTGTGTGACATACAATCCTGTGGCTTCTAGTCCTGATCTGCTAGCACTTACCTGGATTAATTGCCTTGAGTGCTAGGCTGTAGCTGGTGTTTTAAAAGTTCTGTAAGGAGCCAGCTTTCTTTTAGAATGCCAGTTTGCAATGGATCAGTCTTAAAACAAGCTCTTACCTTTATATTTAATGATTTCACCAATTACAGTTAAACATTTTTGTTCCAGGTGATGACATGTGCTTCCTGTGGGATCATTTAATAATAATGTCAAGTTGTTTCAGTGTTAATGATGCCAAACTTGATCATTTATGATGACAATAGCCATATGTCTACCATTGAGGATTTTTTGGTTTGTTTTTGTTTTGCTTTGGGACTAGTTATCTTTTACATTTATGATTAGCAAATAAGTATAGGATACAGTCTGATACTTCAACACATGTATATAGCATGTACTGATCAAATTGGGGTAATTAGCAGTTCTATTTCCTTATCATTTCTGTGTTTGGAGCCTTCAGGCTCTTTGAGTTCTTCGTTCTAGCACTCATATACCAGTGTCTTCCTAATCTGTACAAAAGCAACCTTGTCCTAAAGTTTTTTAAAGAACATTTATTTCTGTTTTTCACTTTAATTATGTTACATAAATAAAACTAGATTAGGTACCTCATGTTCCAAAATGAATGTATGTTAAGTTTTTGAACTGAGAATAGCTCCATAAGCAAATTTTTATGGCCATTGTAGATCAGTTTCAAAACATAGTTTAGAAGTAATGTAGAGATAATAGTTTTGGATTCTGGCACTTTATAAGTTTGACCCTTGTAAAGATTCAAGTGCATTATTTAGATTTATCATATACACAGAATAGCATACATAATAGATAAAAATAATAAAATGATAGCCTGTATAATCCAGCATAAAGAATAGCACATAATAAAGCCAGGCATAGTGTCATACTTCTGTAATCCTAGCACTCAGGGGGCTGAGGCAGGAGGATCAAGAGTTTGAGGCCAGCTTGAGCTACATAGTGAGACCTGTCTTCAAAAAGAAAAAAAAAGAAATGGTGTTATTAGTATTGATGAAGCCTTCTGTTTGCCTTTCTTTAATATTCCCCTTTACTTGAGTAGTCACTGATCTGAAATTTTTGTATATTAGCTCCTTACTGTGTTTTTTCCACAAGTGTATTTAATTACTGTTTTGACTGAGTTATATATACATATTTGCTGTCCATGTTAATGCATGAATAGTTAAAATGCATGCATTTTTCAGCACTAAGTGGTATATGAATATACCAGTTTATTTTTCCTTCCTCATGTTGTATGTTCAGGTGGTACCCATTTTTGCAGTTATATACAGTTGTATATTGAACATTGTACATGGCTTCTGATAAAACATTAGATAACAATTTCTGGAGTATATCCAGAAGTGAAATTGCTAGACTGTTAATATGCATTTGTTCTTGTTCTTTCTTTTTTATTAAAAGTGGTTTTATTGTTTTCACAGTGGTTCTGTGCAGGTTTATACAGTAGATAATACCACTGGAGCCATGTTGCTATCTCATAAGTTAGAGCTTACAGCAAAACAGTATCCTGGTGAGTATTTTTTGAAGCATTTTTAATGTAGTCCCCCCCTTATCTGTAAGGTATACATTCTAAGACCCCGCCCCACCCTAGAGGGAGCATGAAACTGGATAGTGCTGAACCCTCTGTATGCTGTTTTTCTTCTAGTATATGCATACCTGTGACAAAGTTTTACTCACAAATTAGGCATAGTAGAATGTACTCTGATTGGTCATTACACATTATATACATGTATTGAATTGTTACACTGTGCCCCATAAATCTATATTATTAAAATAATTTAAAATTTTGAAATAACTGACAATAAAACAGAACAATTATAATGCAGATTATGTGAATATGGTCTCTCTCTCTCTCTCTCTCTCTCTCTCTCTCTCTCTGACATATACACACACACAAGTGAAATTTTTGTTTTTGAGAGTGTGTAGGTTCTTTGTTGTACACACTATACCTGACTTTAATCATATGTCCTAAGGTGTTGCCACTTAGTACTGGAACTAACCTGCCTTTCTGTGTTTTCTGCTTTGGTGCTTCCTTTGCACTCTTCAGTCAACACCAATTCCCAAATCTATGGAACTATCCCTTATATGCAGTAGATGACTTATTGCTTGTTTCAGGGTATTTCTTGTTCAAGTTTTTTGCTTAGTGCTTTCTGGTGCAATATGTTGCTATCAATCATCATATTCTCTGTTCACCCTTTTAATGCTCTTTCTGTCTTAACTGCATTTATCACACGCCATGGCCAACTTTTACAATTACAAATTTCTTTTTCCATTGCAATTTCACAAAACAATCATTCTTACCTTAAATCTTAGCAACTTCAGCATACATTTTTTTTTTTCCTTGCTTGGAGAACTGTCATTTTTTCCACTTAAAGGAAGCATTTTCCAGCTTCTTTGCTCTACTGAATTGCCAGCATTGCTACTTTTCTGCTTTGAGGCCATTACTAAGTAAAATAAGGGTTACTCAAACACAAGCACTATGCTGCTGCAGTAGTCATTTTGATACCCAACATTATTACCAAGTGACTGATGAGCGAGTTAGTGTATACAGCATGACTACACCAGATGAGGGAATGATTCATGTCTTAAGCAGATTCAAGTATATTTCATCCTGCTACTCAAAAGTGGTATACAATTTAAAATTTACGAATTGCTTGCTTCTTGAGTTTTTCCATTAGTATTTTCAGACCAGAGTGGATCTCAGGTGACTGAAAATGTGGAAAATGAAACCACAGTAAGGGGGACTACTCTGATGGTAATGCTGTGTGTAACAAAAGCTGATTTGAAGTTAAATGACTCATGCTATAAGTAAACATTGTTAGGACATGTACAAAAAGACTATGTGACCCAAGGATTTCTGTGTAACTAGAGAGGCTCCTGAGATATTTTTGAATAGTTACTACTTTGCTTAGTTTTAATTCTGTATACCTTGTCTCTACTTTGCAATAATCTTTTACCTGGTTTCATTCCCTCTGTTATTTTATGCCTTCCAGTTCAATTTATTCTTTTCACAAATACTGAATACCTACTATATGTTAGACAGTATTCTAAATGCTGAATACACAGCAATAACCAAAATAAAAAATTCTTTTTTGAATTGTTTAGTGAATCTTTGATGTTCATAGGATTAAGTCTAAATCTTTGTCATTGGAAATGCTTTCAAACAAAACTTAACAGAAAATCCAACATACTATGACTTTAACAAATAGGATTTCTTTTCTCAAATAGCAAGAAATCCAAAGGCAAGCTGCTACTGACCTGCATTTGACCTTTTCTTCATAGTTACAGGGTAGCTCCCGAGTTCCATGCATTACTTCTGCATGGGAGTCAAGAAGAAAGAAAGAAGCAAGGCATATCTTGATATTTTTAGTTAGGGAAGTGAAAGCTTTCCCTGATGTATTACCACTTCCTACCTGCTCCAGCTGTCTTCCACTTCCATCTAATAGGCCATAAATATATTTCATGACTACCTTGGGCTTTAAGGAAAACTTAGCTCTCCTCAAACCTTCAGAAATGGGGAAGGGTGAAGGAGGATGAGAAATAGGTATTGGATTATAAGACCAACAGTATCTACTACATATATAGAATATTAAGACATTCTGCCACATTCTTCTGTTATTTTTATTCTTTATTTTTCTTTGGTGGTGTTATGGGAGCTTGAACTCAGGGCAGTGCGCTTGCTAGGCAGGCACTCTCCCACTTGGGCCACTCCAGTTGGTTGTTTTTGAGATAGGGTCTAACTTTATGCCCAGTTTGCCTTGGACCTCATTCCTTCTGTTTGTGCTTCCCCTCATAGCCAGGATAACAGATGCATTCCACTGCACCCAGCTTTCATTGGTTAAGATGGGGTCTTGGGAACATTTGCACCTTTTGCCTGGGCTGACATTGAACTGCAGTTGTCCCAATTTCTGTCTTCCAAGTAGCTAGTATTATAGGCTTGAGCCACTGTGCCCAGCTTTTATCTCATTCTTAAACATAGTGTCTTACTATTGGAATATGTGTGTTTATTGCACATTCTGTCAAACCTTGTGGTCAAATTGGTTATAACCACCCATATTTCTGGTTTCACATTGATTCTCCACAGAAAACTTTTTTTTAATCTTAGTAACTCTTCACAAAGATGTAACATCAAAATGAATTTCAATTATAAACTACCTGCAACTAGGCATTGTGACCAACAGATGTTTCTCTTGAAAATTATCTCATAGTGCCCCTAAAATTTCTGCACTGTTCTGGTGTACCTTGGCATACAAGCTAGGAACTTGCGATCTTGCATTTTACTTAGCTTGATCAAACTACTTGCAGATCCTTGATACCTTTGACTTTTACACTGTTCTTTCTACCTGAAATGTCCCATATTTTTACTTAGAGGATATATATTTTTTTTCTTATTTTTAAGAAATAGCTCAAGCAAAATCTCTTTTCATGAAGTAGTTAGAATACCATTTCTTCCTGTGCTCTGTTGTACTCTGCATATAATGCCTTTGTTAGCATCTGTAATGCTTTATTGAACCTACTAGCTTAAAAGTCTTTTTCACCTCTTAGATGTAAGTCTTTAGTGTAGGGTGGTTCCCACAGTGCCTGTGCATGGCTCACTGTCTCTCTGTGGCAGTGCTTTTTTTTTTCCTTTTGGCAGTACTGGGTTTGAATCCAGGGTCTCATGCTTGCGAGTAGCTAGGATTACAAGCTCGAGCCACTGCTCCCACCTGGTTCCCATCTCTTTACATCGAGATATGCTTAATTTAAGCCTAGTGAGAAGCACATAATAGAAATACAATAAGAGAATCCATTTTTTTTAAGCCAAGGCTGGTTACCTTTCCAGAACTGTATATAATAGCATTATATAATAATCATAAGTGTACCATTGCTATGTCTACATTAGTAATTGGGAGCCTTTTTCCAACTGTATCTGTTCTGTCCTTCACCAAGATTTAAATATGCTCCCATATTAAGAACAATTGCTGTAAGACTACAAAAGTTCTCTGATTTGGGGAGTAAAGGAAAAAAAGTCAGAAAGAAATTGAGTGAGTCCATGTAAATCTAATCAAATTTTAATAATAAAAATGTGTTTTTTTCCAGGAAGAAGCTAAGGTTAATCTCATGTTTAAATTTCAATTAAACATTAGAATATTTTAACTGTCCATGTTGACCTAATGCTACCACATATATATCAGTTATTTTTACCCACTATTTCTTACTAATACCTTCCTCTGGAGACCATTTTCTGCCTGAAAATATATCCTTTGGGATTTATTTTTTGGGGGAAAGGGGAATAGAACTGGGGTTGAAACTCAGGGCCTTGCTAGGCAAGCACTCTGTGATTTGAGCCACATCGCCATCCCTTGGGATTTCTGCTGATAAAGTTTTTGTAATGGTAAACTCAATTTTTATTTTGGTCTTAAATGGTTCATTTTGTCTTGTGTTCTAATTATAGTTTAACTTAGTATATAGTTTTGGGTTGACAATTATTTTCCCTGTATACATTGAAGAAGTTCTATGTTCATTGGGTTTCCATTGCTGCTAATGGAAGTTTCCAGTCAGGTTGTATTCTCTTTAAAATTAGTCTTTTTCTCCATAGCTACTTTTAAGATGTTCTCTTTGTCTGTTATGTTTTCCAGTTTCACTATGACATGGGTGGTGAAGGATTTGTTGTTTTGAATCCTGGTTGACACTGGATCTGAGAATTTGTATCTTTTACCTATGTTGAAAAATTCTCAATAATAATTGGAATATTTCCTCTCTCCTAATCTCTTTTTTTGGTCCCCCAAAACACTAAGATACATGTTATTCTTTTTATCCATGTTTCTTAACCTTGCTTTTTAAATTTTTAGTGCTTTGTTTCTGTAGGTTGAATTCTAGAAGTTTTTTTGATAGCTATTTTTGGGTTTGCTAATTTTCTTCTCAGGTATATCTGATATACTGCTTCATCTACTGAGTTTAAATTTTAATTACTGTATTTTTATTTCTGAAAGTTTTATTTAGCTGGTGAAGTGAGTGGTAGAGCTCCTACCTGAAAGTTTTATTTATTTAGTCTATGTGGATCTTGCTTCTAGTTTTGATCCTTTATTTCTTTAGTTATAAGGTGCATGGATTTTTTTTTTTTATATTCTGTGTATTAATCCTCATATCTAAAGACTTTCTGAGTTTCCTTCTGCTATTTCTTGGTTCTATGACTTGGGTTCTTTGTTCATTTGTTTATGTATTTTAGGACTTTTGACTGAGAATTGATTTGTGTTCCTTGAAAGTTGTTTATGTAAATGCTTTGGGACCTTGATTGCATTTAACTTCTTCCAGAGAGGATTTGTTTGTGTGTCTACTGATCACATGGAGACACAACATGAATTGGAACCCTTTGCATTGTATTCTCGATTTAGGATTATTTCTTGAACTACACTAATTACACAGATTACAAATCCAGGTGAGGGCTGATTTGTGACTAGGAGTTTTACAGGGTAGTTTTAGTTTCTACCCAGTACCATAGATGAAATATGGAAATGTTTCTTGATATTTCTTTCCCTTCTACATGACAGAGTGTTTTTTTTTGTCCCTCTCATTCTTCTTTATACCATGGATATATCCCTTTGTAATCCCAGCTTTTATTAGATTTCCTGCCTTGGGTACAAGCTCTGAGCTTTATCTCCTATTCTTCACATACTGGTGAGTTATCAGAAGTGATGGCAGGAGTCCCAGGGTTCAGCAGACAAATTTAGGAAAAAGTAGTATGTCCCAATATTTTTAGTTGTTTTGAGGCATTTAAAAATTCTCTTGACCATCTTAATTGTTTCAGTGTGAACAGTCATTTAGGGTATCATTTGCTGCATTGCCAGGAAAGTAAGGAATTTGTTCCTTACTTTTTTTTTTCTTTTTCATTCTTACTGTATAGACTTTTTAAAGGCCTACATATATTTTTTCACCAAGGGCAGTGTTTGTGCAACCCATCCCCACTTTATAGAAGCTGATTTATATAAAATCATGTAATTTAAAAATTATACAAAGCTATTAATGGCCAGAACCAGTTTTCACTGCTTATAAATCACTTGTACACTGAATTTACTCTGATTAAATCAGGCCAAGACTAATGACCTTATTTTAAATAGCCCTACATGAGCAGGATTCATCTAATTTGAAGCATTCGTGGCTTTCTGCTTATTTAGATTCGAAGATACAAACTGTTGAAAGTACTAAGTATTTCTGTTGCAGTCGTTTATTTTTAACTCTTCTCACTATTTCTTAACAGACATTTGGAACAAAACAGGAGCTGTTAAATTGATCAGATGGTCTCCTGACAATAGTGTTGTAATAGTGACCTGGGAATATGGAGGTCTTTCCTTGTGGAGTGTGTTTGGAGCCCAGCTGATTTGCACCCTTGGAGGAGATTTTGCGTAAGTCAATAAAGACAAGTTTTTTTAAAAAACTCCATTATTTTCCTGGTACTACATATGGACAGAAACCTTTGTTCATAGAGCTATATTGTTTTGTCTTTTGCCTTATTTGATACTTACACCAAAACAGTTTGTAAGGTTCAGGATTAAATTGTTCTGAATATATTAATTCTTCAAACATTCACTGACAGTTCACTCAGTTAAAATTCACTTACTAATCCCCAGATTGGAAATAAAATGGACTTATTGGTTGAGCCCCTGTTGTGTATATGATCTTATGTTAAGGTTTAAGGCTGAATTTGACATAGTTCTCCCTCATGTAGCTTATCCAATAAAACAATCCATGTACATAAGTGAATAATAGGAAGTAGAAAGCTACATTATCTTGTTGGGTTAATGTAGGTTGGCCCAGTGGGTTTATATTTCTGCCCCTTTATGTACTACCTTGAGTCTCAGTCCTGATGAAATGAATACATCTCCCCAAAGTGTATAATGCTGCCAAGAAGTCACCCGAACCTAGCAGAATGTGGCTGAGTGCTATACCGAGGTTTATCAGCCTGAGCCTGAAATCTTTTTTTTTTTTTTTTTTAATTTTGGCCTTTATTTGTATTCCTTATTAAAAGTATCTGGTTCCACATATTAAGTCAAGAACTGGATTTTTTTTTTTTTTCTGTGACAGTGGGATTTGAATTCAGGGCCTATATGCTTGCTAGGCAGGCATTCTACCACTTGAGCCACTCCACCAGCTTACCTTTTAATTTTATGTATTATTATATATTTCTCTTTTGAAGAAGGAAAAGCAATTTGATTTCTTAACTATGTGCATTATATGTAATTGGAAGGCAATCAAATTAAGTTTCTGTTCTGTTTCAGTTATAGATCTGATGGTACCAAAAAAGATCCCCTTAAGATCAACTCTATGGTAAGTACTTTATTAAAAATTGATTCTAGCTACTTGGGAAGCTAAAATCAGGAGAATCAAGGGTCCAGGCCAGCTCAGGCTAAAAAAAGGTTGTGATGGGAACCCCCCACACCCCCCTGAGTCTTAATAGAAAAAGCTGGGCATGGTGGTGCATATCTGTCATCCCAGTGGCAGTGGGAAACATATAAGGATTGTGGTCCAGGCTGACCTGGGCAAAAAGTGAGAGGAGACTCTGTCTCCAAAATAACTAGAGCACAAAAGACACTAGAGGCCGTGCTTCAGTGATAAGAATACTTGTCTAGCAAGTGCCATGAGTTCAAACTCCAGTACTGCCCCTCCCCCCACCCCACCAAATAAAAAACTTGGAGTTTTTCTTCCTTTTTTGCTTCTCACATTGATCTGCTAAAAATAAAAAAGCTATTTTAGTCTCAGCAGATTCTTCCTAACACAGTTATTGTTTTGATGATGGTTTTATTTTTGTTTTTTTGAAAGACAGTATCTTGCTATGTAGCTCGAATTATCTTAGAACTCATGATGCTCCTGCCTCAGCCTTTCAAGTTCTGGGTCACAGCTGTGTACTGCCACACCTGACCAAGTATTTTTTTTCAATTGGAAGTCTGGCTGATTTTTTTTTTCAGTATTTGACTTTTGTTTAGTTGTGTCCAGTAAGCACCTGTCATCTTTGTGGAGATAAAACTCTTCAAATGAGGTCCTTCTTTTTTTCAAACATAGCTTCCTTTCTTCTGTGATTCATTGGTATGCACTGCCCATGGCTTACTGGACCAATGCCTATTGGTCATTTTTTCCTAGAAGACATGTACTTGTGCATTACCTAAGCATATTTTGAAAACTTTTCATAGATATAGATACATTAAGAGAATTATATTCACTGTTGAAATAATTCTTATATTACTACCTATTTTTAAGAGTTGGTGAAGAAAAACAATGAAATATAACCCCTGTCTCTTTTTGGTGGGTGGGGGCTGCAGGTGGTGGGGGGAGGGGAGTTAAGACAGGGAGAATAGCTTGAACTTTTGATCCTCTTGCCTCAGTCCCCACAAGTGCTGGGATTATAGGCATTTGCCACCACACCTAGTTTATAACCATTATCTTCATGTAAAAACATTTTCTCCCTATAGACTTTATAGTGTTATCTTAGTAAAATTATTGATTGTGAGGCTTATTACTACCCTTCAGAAGTCATCTATAATGCTGTCACTGATTATTTCAGATATCAACTCTTTATGTTAGGAAAGGATAACAAGAACCTTGTTTTGCTTTGACTTTTTTTTCCCTCTTTTCTCCAAGAGCTGGGGTGCAGAAGGCTATCACCTATGGGTAATCAGCGGATTAGGTTCTCAAGACACTGAAATTGAGGCTGACCTCAAGAATATAGTTAAACAGCCCAGCATTTTGTTGTTTCAATTTATCAAGAGTGTACTCACTGTAAACCCTTGTATGGTAAGTGTATTTAAAACTGATTAATTTAGTGTCTTTCATATCAGAATTTCAGACCCTTCAAGTTCAGTGTTTATGTGTGAAGTAAACACTTTATGACAGAGCTGTAGAGATTTGTAGAAATCCACATTCTCAGATATTCTCATGTACATCATGAAACTGTAGGAGTTCAAATATTTAAAAAGCAATGTTCACCATGCTCATTCAGCTGTCAGCTTTTAAGAAACACCTTGAAGAAAATATGTGTAGGAATCTGCTTTGGGAAACATTGCCCCAAATTACATATAAACTCCTCGTGTTTATCAATCTAAAATAATGTCTGTTAATATTTTTTACATATTGTTAACATATAGCAATAGTACAAGGTTATAATAATAATACAGGTTACATGTTAGGGGTACATATTTTAATACCTGTTATCAGTGGCTTTTTTTTTAAAGATATTTGGTGTAACAAGTTAATTAAAGTTTACAACACATTGAAAAATAATGTAAAAATTGCTTGTATCTCAGATACCATTACTGCAGTTGAAAATTAAACATCCAGAAAAACGACGACAGAGCATTTCTTCCTGGCCAACTCTATCTCAAATGTCCTGGGGGTTTAATGTCAGGACACATTTGGAGTAAAATGGGAAGTAGGGTATCACTCTTTCTGATTTGAGTATTTAATTTAGAATCTGCCCACCTTTGAGAACACTGGCCTTCTCATTGAAAACCAGGAAATAATTACTGAAAGCAGAAACTCTTAGTTGTCTGAATATCCTTAATATCCTTACAACCTTATATAGTTCTTGCTACTGAAGTAGCATTTGCTAAGTAATTATTGGACTTTTCTATATCCAAACTACAGACTTAAGTTTTTCTTCCTCCCCCATGGTTTAGAAGATCCTCCAGCATCCAACTATCCCTATTCCTAGTCCACCTCTTGCCATTTGGGCACATGGGTGAGCATACACAAACATGTCTTTAACCAGATATGTTTTCTTAAAACATTGATGCATACTTTTTGTGAAGCTGATTCTTAAATGGGAAAACAGTAGTTATATTCAGTTTTTCAGATGTAACAATCTTCGATAGCATTGCTATTTTGGAGTAATAATGAAAGGTACTTCTATACCAGTTGTAAACCTGAGCATGTTTACAACTATATGATAAAACCCACTTTAGCAAAGACTTTATTTACACTGAGAAATAATCACTAAGATACTACATATTCTAAGTGTAACAGTGCTGAGATCATTATGTAGTCTTTGTCCTCTGTAAAGAAAATCAGCATTCATATATGGTACATCTACAATAATAAAGCTAAATTAGCATGTCACTTAATTTTCCTATCTAATGTTGAGTTATTTTCATTTGCTTTTCTCCTTTGCCCCTCTTCTTCCTCTTTCCCTGTCTAGAGTAACCAAGAGCAGGTGTTACTTCAAGGAGAGGATCGCTTATACCTGAACTATGGCGAGGCCTCACAAACCCAGAATCCCAGAAGATCTTCAGCACACTCTGAGCATAAGCCCAGCCAGGAAAAGAGCCCATTTGCAGATGGAGGTTTGGAGTCTCAGGGTTTGAGCACTTTACTTGGACATCGACATTGGCATGTCGTACAGGTAAACGTTTGTTTACTGATTACTAGTGACTCATTCCTTCGTAAGCTATCACTTGGAACAGATTTTTTAAGTATTTTGTCTGTTATTTCAGAAAACTGAGAATCTTTTTAACCTTCCCGTTACATCCCTCTTACGCTTTTCTGTGCTCTTGTCTTCTTTCTTTCTATTGATAGAGTGTTTTGTCACCTGTTTTAAATCCATTAGTAGTATCAAGAACTAGAAGTTTGTTTTTCTCCCTTATTGAAGATAACTATTTATTTGACCTTCAGCCTCTTTTTTTTACATAATCTAGCTCTGGGTAAATAGGCGAAAGTGTAGTCTTCGCATGGAAAGTGGTAATATTGACTAGAATCTTGTGTAGTTGACCTTGTAATCTTAACGGGGTCACCTTGATGTTAATCAGCTGACAGTAGACCCAAATTGTAAGCCTGTGATCATTCTAGAATTTTATTGTTGGTAATTGTATTATTAGTTAATCTTAATCCAAATTATGTACTCGTTGATTCTGATAATCACTTTTGAATTAGCTTCTTTTAGTAATTCTGATAGATTGGCATTTAATATGTAAATTATATCTGAATTTTTATACCAATTAAGATTAATTTTGGGAAAATGAATAAATTGAAGTTTCTTAAAAAGAAAAGAAACTTGTGTACATAGTTTCAGGTTCTGAGTGGTTTTTTTTTCCCCACTTGAAACCAAAATGCATCAGAGCCTACTCTTGGATTACTTTCTTTTAGTCAGTTTCTTTTCTTTTCCTTTCCTTTTTTTTTTTAAGATATGGTCTCACTACATAGCCCATACTGGCCTCAAATTTGTGATCCTCTTGCCTCAGCCTCCACAGTGCTGAGATTACATGTGTGCACCACACACCCAGCTTCTTTTAATCAGTTTCTGTTTCCATAATCCTTTGCCACCTTCTCTCTATATTTGTATCTTACTCGTTTTTTACTACAGCTTATTTTCACTTGACTTTGGAGATGAGAGACAGAAAAATGGTCGTTAAGTGAAAGTTTGAAGGAGGAATGTCTCCTACATTGACATGTGATATACATTAAAAGATAATGTATTTAGCTTACATTAATAAATTCTTAGCCTCAAACAATGTACATACCATTTTATAATTAGTAACAAGTTTTAAATAAAACTGCATCAGCTACTTCCTTAACTAAAATTTTCCACTACTCCCTTCTCTCCTATAGCCATTTCTCTGCTATTTTCATTTCCCCATACTTTGAACTATTCATTCTACACTGACCTAGCATCAATGCCAGTTCTGCCTAGCCAGGTCTGTGTTACCAGAGAGCCAAGTAGAGCAGAGGATCAAAGAAGGTAGGTCTGGAACTCAAAAATCCATCAGGCAATAACAAAATTGAATTTCCTTCCAGCTCAAAAATTCAGTGATTCTTAGCCATCTATGAAGCACTCCATGAAAGGAATCATAACAGCACTGATTTTAGGACTTTAGATATTAGTAAGATTCTCTGTCATTCTGTTCATTAGATAGTTAAAGATATCTAGAAAGATGAACTTTTTAAGTATGTTTACCTAGGTTTTTCAGTTTGCTTAAAAATGATGCCACATTTGTACTCCCAAAATTATAACAGACTCATAGAATTTTTAGAGCTGGAAGGACCCCCTTAGCAATCATATAATACACCTGGATTTTATACGTGAGGAAACAGGCTCAGCCCAATGTCACACAACAGAGTGGTGGCAGACCTATCCTTACTGTGATCTACATTAAAGTAACAACTCTAGTGTATTTTAAAATGTAGGTACTAAATGTTGAATCATAATATACTGCTGACCTTGAGCTAAAACTTAGAATTTGCCTTTTTGGCCATAGTTTTACTTGGAATTGCCCCATACTTTGTTTACTAGTATTCCCTACCCCGCGATTCAATACATCATAGTGGTAGTCCTTCAAAAGCAAAAGCTTTTTAGCCATTAATGACAACTCCTAAAAAACATGGGTGTCTGATTCCCCTTTCAGCATATCATCTTTTCTAGATCCATCAAAGTTGATTTCTTTGTGTGATTTATACTTTACTTTGTATGCTTATTGTATAGCTTAGAGTTCATCAGTGAGTTCCAATTTATTCTGATGCTCCTTCTGTTTGGTTTTTTTTTTTTAATTTAAGCTATCTACCTTATACTCCTTAGCTTCTATGTTTTTCCTGAGCTAAAACAAAAAAAGTACATTCTTGTCAAAAACAGGATTAGTAGTTGGCAGTGTAGATGGTACCTTTCAATTTATTTTGATTTTTTTTTTTTTTGGTTATAAATTTCAAAGTTAGTTTTCCTAACAAATTTTAAAAGTAACGGAACACAATGTGAATTTTTTAAAATGTTAAAAGCCTTCTAGTTTTAGGCTGTATTCCTTCTTGGACTGCCATTTATTTTAATGCTCAGTATTGTATAATGTAAACATTTACTTCTGAAAAGTGTGTTAATTAATATTGCCCAGTATTCTGAAGGTGTTGGTTTTATAGTTAATTTGGCTCTAACTATTTGAAAAGAATAACCTTCATAAAATGTGGGAGATAAATACTCAGTGTATCAGGTACTATGTTAAGGATATCAATGGTGTTTTTTTAAAGGTTGTTTCATTTACAAATGATTTGCTTTCACCCTGCAATGTCTATCAAGTATGCAGGTATTGTATTTGGTATAGGTCAAATCTGATGAGACTGTGGGTCCCATAGTCCCACCACTTACAGACCAAACTAGTCTAGACAAGAGACAGGGTTTTAGCAGAATGACTGAAGAAAGGTAGGAAGGAAGGGAGGAAGGAAAGACAGAAAAGAGAAACTTGAAAATCCTTCGATAAAGAGGATAGAGATTCTTTCTGTACTTTAGCACTTAGTTTTCCAGTGATGTGGCATGGCTTTTGTGCCCTAAGGGTGCATCATGACACTTTAGTTTCTTTATTACTTATTAGCTGCCTCTTTCCTTACGTATGCCATGTACTACTCTTAATATGAGGTATAGAGTTCAGAGTTCAGATGACACATAGGTCAATAAAGGTGATAATAGAAAAAGCACAACTTTTTGTTCTGGTCTTATAACATCTTCAAACAGAAAGAAAACTATGTGAAAAATAAAGCTTAATTTTAAGCTTAACATCTCGAGTTTGAAAATAAATACACCATTTGCAGTTTGTTATACTTCATAGACTTTTGCAATTTAAAATAGTTTTCTCCTATAGATAATTGTTAGTTTTTGACCACTTGATAAGATTTCACTTTGCTTTCTCATGATTAGAAACTCTTTATGTTGGAACCCACTTTTGCAGTGAGATCCTAACTCCAACATTATCCACCCACATGACTAATGAAACAACAATGTATGGAGAGGTTATGACTTTTTTTTTAATGCCACGAAGGGGGAGATGCAGTTATGCTCAGGTACATTTCAAGTGACTATTTGTTCTTTTCTAAATTAAAAAAATTCACTTAACAGCCTTGTAGAAAACTGCTTTTAACTTTTATTTTACTACTCAATAATTACTTCAAATTTACTATTATTCTGAACTAATTTAGCCTGTCAGGGTAAATTTTGTTAATTGGCCTGAAGGCTTAGCATATCTGATAAGATTCAAGTTATATATTCCTTCAAGCCTGTATCTTGCATATATCATGCTTCCAGTATATATCACAGTTACCTTTAATGCTATATCGGTTACACTTTCCAGACCAGCACTGAGATTAAGAACTTCCAATGTACTGAAAGCTATTAACCTAGTTTGATTTTAAGTTGACTTACTAGGTAATTAGTCAGTTTTATGAATTAATTTATCAAGGATAATATAGATGTTTTCAGCCTATTGTTTTTACTTCATCCTCATTTTTTCTTCATATTACACAATTTTATTGAATTTTACAGTTTCTGTGGCTTTTTTATTTTGCTTCTTTAAAATATGTCACCATCTTTCTTAAGTAAAATTAAAATAAATTTGAGTAAATTGAAGTTTTTCTCATTCCAGGAACAGAATAATCTTCCTTTGTTCTGTTCTGTTCTGTTCTGTTCTGTTAATTCACACTTCACTCCCACCAAGTATTCATGAAAACTAATTAGTAGGCTAATAGAAAGATCAGAGTCTCTATAGACCTAGTATTTACTTAGTCCCTGTTGATATCCCACAGAGGATTCTCTAAGTTTAATAGTTTTGGGATGGGGTTATGGCCCTGAGTTCAAACCTAGTACCACCAAAAACATTTTGCAGGGGATAGGGGCTCAAGGCTATGATCCTAGCTACTTGGGAAGCAGAGAGCAGGAAGATCACAATTTAAGGTTAGCCGCAGCAAAATAAAGTTCATGAGATCTCATCTCAACTAATGGCTGGCCACAGTGGTGCATGCCTGTCATCCCAGCTATGTGGGGAAGCATAAATAGGAGAACTGCACTTTGGACCAGTCTGGACACAAAGCAAAACCTTATCTCAAAAATAACCAAAGCAAAAAAGGGGTAGAGGCCTGGCTCAGGTGGTAGCAACACCTGCCTACCAAGTGAGAAACCCTGAGTTCAGTTGTTACTTACAAGAAAAAAAAAGTTTTGTTAGAGTGATACAAAGAAAATACGTAAAGATATAAGACAGATAACATGGAACATGGGAAAATATATTTACCATTGATGTTGCAGATAAAGACTTAATATCAATAACATATTAAGGTTCTTAGAAATTAATAAGTTGAACTAATAGAAAGTAGTAGCTTAAACATGCTCATACATGTTTATGGATGCTTTTTCAGAAAAAATAACAATAAACTGGTAGTTGTCCCTGAACAGCAGAATTTCATTTTGTACTCTATATGTTTTTGTATTGTCTAATTTTATAAGCATTGCTCTTTAAATCAGAAAGATATAAAAGTAATAACAATATTTCTGTTAAAACCAAAACTCTGAGGCCATAATCTTATTAGATAAGGTTGTTCAGTGATAGTTTACATCAGCAAACCAAAACTGTTCATCTGCACAATTCGTGGCTTCCTTCATATGTGCATCTCTAAAATTCTCTTGCCAATGTATATTTATTGAGTTTCATATTACAAACAAGCAAACTGCGGTATGTGGAAAAAAGAAGAAAGCCTGATAAGAGGTGTGAAATACTGTCTCATATATAAGTGTTACATTCCAAGTGATCTGCTACTGATAGCCACTACTTGGGGCACCTTAAAACTTTGTACAAGAAGCTGAATCTCATATTGTGATAAGTTAATGCTTTAATTTCAGAAGTCTTAACAAACTGATATGTTATTTTCTGTAGATTTCCAGTACCTATCTAGAAAGCAATTGGCCTATACGGGTGAGTTGTTATTTTGTTAAGTGTTGCTGCAAGAGTCTTTCTGGGAATTGAGCCCCTCACTGGGTTTATTGATGAGTAAAATTTTAATACTTAATCAGTTATGATTGCTAGTGTATTAACATGTTTTATAGTATTACTGTATTTGGATTTTTAAATTTAACATTTTGTATTTAATTCATGTAGCAAACATTTATTTATAGTCTATCACCTTATATAGTATTAAGCAGATTATACCTAATAAATTTGTATAGATTTACAAGGAAAAGTTTCTAATTTTTTTTAATAGTTTTCAGCTATTGATAAACTTGGACAGAATATTGCTGTGGTTGGCAAGTTTGGTTTTGCGCATTACTCTTTACTCACCAAAAAATGGAAACTTTTTGGAAACATTACTCAGGTTAGTCTTTTTGAAATCAGTATTTACTTTAAAAAGAAACAAATACAAGAAACTGATATTGGATAATGTCTGTGAGCCAATTTTGAGGAAGTACTTGATAATTTAATAAACTTCTTATGTTGAAATAGTTGGTTTATTTTTAATTCTTAATATCAGTAATAATTCTTTAGTTTGAGGATTTAATCTTACCTTCAAGGTTGTGTCATCAAATGTGATGAAATGAATTTCCACAAACTTTGTAATCATTCCCTGTCTGCTGTCTCTGTGTGTGTGTGTGTGTGTGTGTGTGTGTGTGTGTATTTAACTGCATATATAGTACATGTATTGGATTTTGCAAGAATCAAATGAGAGGAAAAGTGAAGGAAATTAACATTTAATTTTGTGTACCAGGCACTTTAAGTTGTTTTTATGTATATTATTTCATTTGTCTTCATAACCCACTGAGGACACTACTGTTACCATTTATCTTCATAACCCACTGAGGACACTACTGTTACCATTTAATAAAAAAGAAACTAGGATTCAGTCACTTATTTGATGGTGATAAACCCAGAATGTAAACCAGGGTCTTTTGGATGTGAGAATAATGATGCTTTCTGCTATTCATTTATTTTGAGTGGTATATTTGCTTCTTTACCAGAATACTTATTTTTAAAGATAGGACTACTATTAATAAAGGTCCTAGAGTAATAATTCAGGGGAGTGAGAATACAGCAGAAATAATGTGAGCTTTCTATGAGCCTAAGAAGATTTTATGTTATTTTCATTGTAATTTCTGGTAACATAATTAAGGTCAATACATTTTAATTTTTCTTTTAAGGAGCAAAATATGATTGTGACTGGTGGCTTAGCCTGGTGGAATGACTTTATGGTCCTTGCATGTTATAACATAAGTGACCGTCAAGAAGAGGTAATTTTTTCCTCTCAGAAATAATAGAGTTTTATATCTCAGAGTTAATAAGAACTAATTTTATATAGAAAATAATTTACTAAAGACTAAAAGCATTTTATTTTTTAATCAATAGTTTAGCAAATAGGATTGCTGTTCCAGGTTATTAAAACCTTTCCTATCCTAGTACTCATGAATTAGAGTCCAGCCTGGATTACATAAGCAAGACCCTATCTCCGAAAACAAACTTTGCTAAGAATTTTAGCTATGAGATATTCTCTATAAAGTTTGATAATAAAAAAAATAGTTAAAAGCAAAAATAGATTATAACAATCCCTCTTTTTTTTTTTTTTTTTTGGATGATTACTGAGGTTTGAACTTAGGGCCTTGAGTGTGCTGGTCAGGCACTCTACCACTTGAACCATGTCTCCAGATCTTTTTTGCTTTAACTATTTTTGAGATAGGATCTCGTTTAAACCCAGGGCCAGCCTCAAACCATGATCCTTCTACCTATGGCCTCCTATATAGCTGTGATAACAAGTACACACCACCCTGGACTTGTTGAAATGGGCTCTCACTAACTTTTCGTCCAGGCTGGCCTTTAATCATGATCTTCCTAATCTCCACTTGCTGAGTAGCTGGAATTATAGGCATGAGCCACTGTTCTCTGAAAGAATGGCTGTTCTTGTTTGTTTTTGTGGTACTGGGGTTTAAACTCAGGGCTCCTTGCTTACTAGGCAGGTACTCTACTGCTCTAGTCACACCTCCAGCCCAGAATGGCTGTTCTTAAAGAGATTTATTGATTTATATGGTTGTTTTGAGAAACTTCTAGGCTCATCAGGTCTAATTACACAAGTCTAAAAGGAATGTCTGATAATAACTACATTCACAGTTTTGATAAATTCATCTTTTGGTGAGCCTAGCTTGCCAAAATATAAACCTTGCTATGCCTTTAATAGATCCTCTAACTCCTATAACTTGGGGGAAAAAAAAGTCTGTGGGTTAAAAAAAAAAATAACATGACTAAAGTTTTTAGGCATCCTTGGTAACCATCTATCTTGTTTTTATAATTTTCTTTTATTTTCTTCAGCTCAGAGTATACTTACGAACATCAAATCTGGACAATGCCTTTGCTCATGTCACCAAGGCGCAAGCAGAAACATTATTGCTTAGTGTCTTCCGGGATATAGTCATAGTATTTAGAGCAGACTGTTCAATATGCCTTTACAGTATTGGAAGAAAATCTGATGGGTAAGTTATAGCATATGACAAGTCACTTTTGCAGCTATTTATGTTTCCTCTGTTGTTTCAGTTTTCTCAAAAACACTTTTTCCTTTCTACCATTACATTTAGTTTCAACATAAAAAGTTTTAATTAGTAATATTTATATAGTAGCTGTGATAAAAGAAAGGAGAAGTAGCCTTACGAACTATTTCTTCAGTTCATCTTCTTGGGTACATTGGAAAAAATAATTTAATTTCGGCTGTGGTAACCCTTAGGTACTAAGTGTTTTCACAGCTTTGATAATCTGTGACTAATAACTGTTCCAGGCACATGGAGAAATTTGAAGGAGTTCTATAACTTCCAAGTCCTTAGACTTGTATTTCCACTGCACTTGACGGCTATAGACTGAAGCAGAAAAAAGCAAAAAGTCCTACTGCTGCTACATTTGGTCTTTTATTCTTGTATCTGGTTAGTTTGCAGCATTTAGACCACACCTCTTGAGTTGTATTTTGTTCTGAAATGTGTATGTTTAATGACCATGTAGTATATATTTGCTGAAGTAGCTCAGTGATTGGAGAGTAATACAGACATAAAAAATTGAGGCATATTATGAGCATGGCCATTTAAACCTTTATCCTTTCATAAGCAACTAGTTTTCTTTTTACCCCTACCCCTAAATATCTCTGTTCTTACAGCTTCTTCCCTGGTTTTTGTTTGTTTTGATTTTTGTCTTCTCTCTCCTCCTCTCCAACACTTTACTCTCTCTTTGTCTCTTATCCCAGTGTGTTCTTTGAGTCCCTAATCCTTATTGAAGGCTATTTAGAGAGTAAAGGATAATAGGAAAAAGACATTTGGTCTTCCATATCATGAAATATAATAGTAGTAGAAAAGGGAAAAACCTTGTCATTGAGCTGTGAGGGTTTCTTTTGTCTTTACAGTTCAAATACTACTGCTGGTATTCAAGTTCTTCAGGAGGTTTCCATGTCACGTTACATTCCTCACCCTTTCCTGGTAGTATCTGTCACTCTGACATCAGTGAGTACAGAGAATGGAATCACCTTGAAAATGCCACAGCAGGTACCATTCTATTAACAGAGCTCTTTGGAGTTTACATCTCAGTCTTTAATGCTTTAAGTAACCATTAGAACTATTTATTTGTTTAGCAAATAAACACTATCTAGAATATACCTAGTATGAAGTTATGTTGGGTTTCAGTGGCAAACTAAACAGACATGGTTGTTGCTCACATTAAACAAATAATTACATGCATAATTCTTGTGATGTGTATAGCAAAAAGTAAGACCATTTAAGTTGAAATATGAAGAATAAGTAGAGATTATGTAAGCAAAGAGGAGGAATTTCAGACAGAAGGAACAATAATGCAAAGACCTACAGATGAGGGACCATGACACACACAGGAAGTTGGAAGGAGTTTAGAGTGACTGGAACATGGGTGTGAAAAAGGATGTGAGTCTTACAGATAACATTGAAAACTTAAACGTTTAATATTAAATAAAGAGTGTTTTAAGGTGGGTATTGTTAGAGCTAAGCTTTACAATGTTTATTCTAACTGTGAGGAGGAAAGTAAACTGAAATGGTGCAAAACTTAGGAAGCAGCTAGGAGGCTATTATAATGATCCTAGCGAATGGTGTTAGTGGCCTGAATTTGGGCAGGGAAAAAGAAGATGAGAAGAAGTAGAATGAATTTAGAATATAGTAGGATCCATGATTAGTTATGAGGAAAAAGAAAGTATAATCCCATAGTTTCTAGTTGAAGTAACCAGGTATATAGTGGTGCCACTAGGATCCAGGTTGCATTGCTTCCTATTTCAAGGCTCCTTCTGTTACACCAGCAATCTCCAAACTTCAGGTTAACTGGGAGCCTGTTGTCAAAGGAAAATTCTGTGTAGTTTTATTTGTCATCCCTAACTTCCCTGTCTGTCTTTTACTTCTTATCAAGGTACTTCCTTTAAACCTTAACACTCCATACAGTTATTGAGAAATCAGCTACTTCACAAAAGAGCCCCTTTAACTGCAGTTGTAATCACTACAGGCTATTATTTGTAAGGCTCTAAAATCTGATTCGTAACAGCCTCGCCTGTTTCTCTGTTCTTTGAAACAAAAATAATAAAAGCAACTTTCTTTTCTACTTGATGATCCCTAAAATATTTACAGACAGTTATCATTCCTTGACTTTCCCTTCTGTCTGCATACCTTTCTCTGTGGCTTCTCCTCTGCTTACAAAGTATTCCCATATCTCCAGCTATGTATTTGTTCTAGACCCCTTCTTGGTCTCTCTTCTGAAGATTAGTTTATAATTTGTTTTCTTCCTTAAAACAGCTCCAGTTTCCTCAGCAAACTCTTAACTAGATAGTACTAGTTGATAAAGGAAAGTTCTGTTTTACACAAAATTCCAGTTAAAAGATGTGAAAGGAATGTGGGAATTAAAAAATCATTTACAGCCCCCAAAGAAATAACTGATTTAGCAGTGATCATTATTGCATGAAACTTTATAATGAAGGGATCAGGTCATCATTCCTAAGCATTATTAATCATTCATAGCATCTAAAATAGGCAAACCAGATGTCGTGATATAATATAAAGAATTATTGCCAAAAACATTTCACCTAAATTGAATCAAGTGTCTGCAGCCATCTTCCATTCACAGGAATTAAAGAGAGTGTAGTCTTAAGTTACTCCACAAGAAAGCAGAATGCAGGACATTCTGTAGGACAGCTATATGTGAATAGCATGGGGCAAAAGGAGAGAATTCTAGATTGAGTAAAACTTTAGAGCCATAACCACCAAGTACAATGGGTAAGCTAATTCATGAAGTAAATGTGATAACCGAGTTACTACAGAAATGAGCCAGTAAGCTCCTTTGAATCCTCTTTCAAACCAACTATAAAAAGACACTGTTGAGCCAGGTGCTGGTGGCTCATACCTGAATCCTGAATTCCAGCTACTCAGGAGGATTGCAGTTTGAAGCCAGCCAGGGCAAGTAGTCCTCCAGACCCTATCTCAAAACATGCATCACAAAAACAGGACTAGTGGAGTGGCCCAAGTGGTACAGTGCCTGCCTAGCAAATGTGAGGCCCTGAGTTCAAACTTCCAGTACTGTCCAAGGAAAAAAAAATAAGCACTGTTGTATTAACTAGGGATATTTAAATATGAATTGTGAAAAACACCAAAAAATAGTTAATTTCATTATCATTGTGGGTATAAAAGAAAATGTCCATATATTTTAGGAATGAATATTAAGATATATAGAGGTTAAATGGCATGATATCTTGCTTTAAAATATCTTGATAAAATTTAAAAAGAGAAATGGGATGGACGAAACAACTATGGCAAATTCTTGGTAACTCTGAATCTGAATGATGGTACTGTCAGGGTTGCTTGTACGTTTCTCCATACTTTTGATCATGTTTGAAGTTTTCACATTAGACTCAAGTGAAGGACTTTGTATATGTCAGATATGGTGGGCAGTCAGTGGCATCAGTAGTATGGGGCACCCCATTTTAAAAGGACCTTTCTCAAAGAGATGATTAACTGAGTGAAGAGCAGATTAAGAGTAAATTGAAGTCAGGAAGTGTGGCACAAGCGATAGACTACCTACTTAGCAAGTGTGAAGTCCTGAGCTCAAACTGCAGGACTGCCAGAAACAAAACAAACAAAAAGAAGTAAATTGAAGGTGGGTGCTGGTGGCTCACACCTATAACCCTATCTACTTTGGAGGCTGAGATTGGAAGGATCACAGTTCAAGGCCAGCTCAGGCAGAAACATTTGTGAAACCCCATCTCAACCAACAGCTAGGTGCAGTGGCACATGCCTAACATCCCAAGCTATTCAGGAGGCTGAGATTGGAGAGGACTGTGGTTCCAGGACAACCTGGGCAAAAAAAAAAGTTCACAGGACCCCGTCTCAAAAAAGTTGGGCATGGTGGTATACACCGGTCATCCCATTTACAGCAGGAAGTGTAAAATTGGAGAATTGCAGTGTAGGGAAGCCCAGGCAAAAAATGAGACCCTTATCTCCAAAATAACCAGAGTAAAGTGAGCTAAAGACATGGCTCAAGTGGTAGAGCACCTGCTTAACCAAGTGCAAAGTACTTCAAACTCTGGTATTGCTCCCTACCCCCCAAAAAATAAATTGAAATACAGGAGTTAGACTGGTTACATTTGGTGGGGCAAAAAGACCAAGAATGCTACTGCAAGGCATGTCTTCATTTAATAGTGAACATATAAGGGATTTTTTTTTAAATTAAGAAGTGGTGATTTGAGTTCCTCCAAATTTAGGATTTTGAGCATATGGGTAGCTTGTGCTTTTTCTGAAAATTTCATTAATGTTGCATGAGAGCACTAATAGCATTCACCTGTAAATAGAAAATATTGAAATAGTCATTTTTCCTTCCAAAAATTCTTTCCTCCTTTGGTTTATGTGGCATTTCTCTTCTTGCCTTAAAAAACTCAGAGGATGGCGCTTTTCCTTTCCCCTGTATAGTATGCTTCAGAAAATTCATCTACCTTCTTCAGTTTACCAACCTCACCCTTAATGCTTATGATGTTGGCATCGTCATCTCTAGTTCAGTGATCACTCTCCTTCTACTTGAAAACCTTACAATTCTTTGAAATTTGATGAGGGGGACACAAACTGTTTTTCACTTCCTGATTTCTCTTCCTTTTATTGGTGACCTCACTTTCTCTATTACCTCACCTAAATTTGATACCTTGAAATCATCTTTGGTTTGGCTTTTTTCCCACCCTTCATGTCTAGGACAGCAGTAAGTTTTCAAAAAAAAACCTTTTTTTTCCAAAAAAAATCAAAGTGTTCTTCCTCGTTACAGATGAAAATGACTTTATATCTGAAATTTGCTTAAAACAATGTTTCTCAAACCTCTAACATGCTGAGTGATAGTGTCCAATAGGAAACCATTATATCATTATACTAGACTCTCGAGTTTTATTGAAATTTTCTATAATAATTCTTTTTTTTTCTCTTTTTTTTGGCAGTACTGAGGCTCGAACTCGAGGCCTCACACTTGCTGGACAGGAGCTTTACCACTTAAGCCACATCCCCAGTTGTTTTTTGTTTTTCGTTTTTTTTTCCAGTATTGGGGTTTGAACTCAGTGCTTTTAGACAGGTGCTCTACTGCTTGAGCCACACCTCTAACCCTTAAAAATTCTTAGTCAACACTCTTGGTGTCTGTCTCTCCCTAGTAATTAATCTTGATTAACTCAGATTCTTAGTAACTCCCTTACTTCAGAACCATACATAGTGGTTTATTTCATGGTGCTGGTTTGCCAAACCCTTGAAGGTCTGTTGCCAACCAGCTTTGCTTTCTTTCTTTTTTTTTGTTTTTTTTTTTTTAAGGTCAGATTTTTATTGCTTGAGGAACAGAGACTGAAATTAAATTTGAATAAATCTCATGCTAATAGTTAACTCTGTGCTAAGTAAGGCCAAAAAGAATCTGATACAAATTATGATGCAGATCTAGGTAATGTTTCCATTTTGTTCACAATTCATTTCTGTCAAGTCCACTGCATCAGTCTTTTATTATTATTACTCATTTATTCATATGTGCATACATCGTTTGGGCCATTCGTCCCCCCATCCCCTGCCGCCTCCCTCACCCTCTACCCCACCTCACTTCCAGGCAGAACCTGTTCTGTCCAATTTTGTTGAAGAGTAGACATAAGCAATGTTAAGAAAACGCATTTTTGCTAGTTGATAAGGATAGCTATACAGAGAGATTCCTAGCATAGCTTCCATGCACAAGTGTATTACAACCTGAATTGATTCATCTCTACCTGACCTCCTAACTACTTCCTGGTCACCTTCCCATATTGACCTCTGTCACTTTAAGGTTACTGTATTAGCTCCTCTACAGTGGGAACATCAAACACTTTCAAGTTTTGGGTTTCTTACCTATCCCCATTCCTCCCATTATGTGCTCTCCCCTTAGCGTGGTGACCCAAGTCCAACAACATTGCTGTATTTGCCCTAGATCTAAAGTCCGAATATGAGGGAGAACATACGATTTTTGGTCTTCTGAGCCTGGCTAACCTTGCTCAGAA